CTTATCTGTTTTAAACCACGGTTTACAATAAAAATTCCTACTGTCTATTCTTGTTTCACTTATTTCTCAGTTATTTCACTACGAAATTAATTAAACATCGAACATTAATAGTTGATGATGATCTTAGTTCCTTTCTATGCTAAAGTTATATTCCCAATAATTTTTTACTACTTAAACTGGAAGAATTACCTTTTTTTCAATCTTGACATTTTGCTTTCACGTAAAAACTTGTTTTCCTAACATTTATGCATTTTCACAATCTGCACGCAGACGAGAGTAATTACGAATCAAGGATGACGTGAAATACACAGAAAAATGAAGACGCAACCAGTGCCATTTACCTTTCAGCAACATTCGAATCCTGCAAGTCTGTTTGATCTTTGCTTTAATACCACGCGAGTATCATTCATTCCGATGATTAATTGTGAAATGAAACACGTCTCGATGGATGCAAGACTAGGCGTCAAAAAGATGCATCTTAATCCCAACGTATTAAAATTTTTTTAAAATTATTTAATCGCAGAAATTTCGGGAAATGCAAAGACATTAAGAAACTATTGACTTTGAAAGATGTAGTTATTTTAATTTTAAAGATTGAAATTCTCTAGGGAACTGCAAAGATTAAGAAACTATAATTTCGAAAAATACGAAGGTTTAAGAATTAAAATTTTCGGAAGATATGAAAAATTTAAAAATTGGATACAACGTTGGAAAGAATGCAAGAATTTTATTTGAAATCGAGATATAAAAAGAAATAACAATTCGAAATAGTTTGTTATTCTTATTCGAAAAATAATCAGATAATCTTTCATTCGAACGAATTCAGAGATGAAAATAACAAATAATCCCAAATAGAAGGCACAAACGGAAGGAACTATAAAAGGAATTACTATAAAAGGAATTATAAAATATATTTATATTACTATAAAAGGAACTAGGAACTATATATAAAAAGGAATTATAAAATATATTTATATTACTATAAAAGGAACTATAAAAGGAATTATAAAATGAATTACTAGCAATCTGAGAAATTATTCGCAGAAGCAAATACAAAGTGAGACAGGAAATTATTTTGTTGAAATAGAAATTTATTCATTTGAATAAATAAGCAGATGATCGAACAATCAAGAGAGAACACCGAGTCAAATAAGATGGCACATCATTTATCATTTTCATCAATGCTCAATTCTGCTACTATGAACTAAAATTATCGTTTAAAGTATCGATGACTGAGGCTTATGTCGATTTATCGCGATTGCCGATCCTTCGACAGATTTCTTCCTTCGCTTAGGTACAGCAGCACAGATCCTCGGGACAACGATAAAACTCGCACTTGGTTACGCAACCAAGTTTTACAAATCGGTTCGCCGATTCAGGAACTCGTAAGAAACGGAGAAAGAGTGGAAAGTGAACCGTGGAGGGCAGCGCACCCATTCTTTCTCTCTCTTGTGTGCGCTAAACTTGGAATAATCACATACATACTTGGAGCACACACACACACACACACACATACACATGGCAGCAATTATTAGAAGAACATTCGATATCTCGTGGCGCGGAAAGGCTCGTTTTAATCTGCTCTCACGTGAGATCTCGAAACACCGATATCTCTCGATCGATCGATTTATGTTCCCTTTTACCGATTTACGTCCAACGATCGATTAACAAGAAATGATTTTCCTACACTCGTTTTATTGCCGATATTGCTTCCCTCCCTTTCCAAATAAGTATCACGGTTCAACGCGCGTGAAACGAGTCGTTAATCGAACAGATTCGGAGACACTTTTTTTGTGAATATTTTTCACGCGCGTTGAAATTAATTTTATCAAAAGAAAAAGAAGGAAAGGGGGGAAACGAGAGCGGACCGTAAAGATCATGCCGATAGTATTTGGAATGTATCGAGAAATTACAGTCCTTTAAATTGAACCGATAGTTGTTGATTACCAATTAAGTTGAAATATGTGGCGAGCTTTTTTGCTCGTTACTTGGGAATAAATCGGCTAAATTGAATTGGTAGTTGAATTGGATTATCAGAAAGAAGTAGAAATATAATATAGATATGCGGACGTTAGTCTCAGAGGGGAAATTTCACTTTTTCTTTTCTTTTCTTTCTAAAGAGATATACCAAGATAAATTGAAGTGGAATTGCCCAATTATCACGAACAGATGTTACACTGTATTGGATGTTATACTAATTTCAAAGAACCTCACCTTTCACCTCGAGTCAAATTAAAAAAAAAAAAAAAAAAAAAATTGTTTAATTATCACAAAAAATTCGTAGAATGCTACTTTATATCTCCCTGGAGTCATTTTGTTTCTGTCACACTGAGTTCTTTCCTTCAAATGTCTAAGAACGAAAGAAAATGTCAAAGAACTTCCCGTTCGATTGAAAATATGAAACATTACTATACGACTCGTACGACTTATAATTTCATCGGAAAAGTAAACGCGAGACATTTCAACATATTTTAACGTGCCTTTGAAAAATAAAAGAATGCCGAACAGAATTTAGTTTCTTTTAATTAAATACAATGATAAATATATTTTGAAGGATGACGATACAAGTGAAATCTTGTGGAAATGAAACGCTTCGATTCGATCGTAAATTACCGATTTCTACGAACGAAGGAATCGAATGTTGCACGAGTTAGCGGAGTTCAACGAGTACAACAGTGGACGTCATAAACGTCTGTCTCTGAATGACAACAGCGATATCACTGTCTCATGTTTGGTATTATTCATGAATGGTTATTCTATGAAAAGTGGCGCCGTCCGCTACGAGTTTAATCTCGGCAGTTAGCCACGAAAGAACACTCCTCTTCAAGATCGCCATTGTTCGCCGCGTATTTCGCACAATCAGTGCTGTTAAACCATCGAATGTTCTCATTGATTCTTTCATCGTTGCGTACAATTGCTTTAAAATATATATATTTTAGCATTGATACGAAAGCTATTGAACGACTTGGCGCGAGCGAATTATTCACAATAATTTTTCAATACTCGTGTTCTATATTTCGTTGTGTTTCTTACACCTTACTTGTCATCATCACTTGATCTCGCCTTTCTTTAACTTTCGATTTCGTTCTCATTTTTTTTTTTTACATTCGAAGCGAATCAAGTATAGCTTGAATAATATGGCAGTAGTCGGTTGATATTTTTAATATCATAATTCTCAACCGGTGTTATTCGACTACTGGAAACCAGGATTAAATTTAAAATTACACTACTTGATCTCGAACTTTTTCAATTAAATTTCATTTTTATTGGTTTGCTGCGAAGAACGTGTTAAATGGTCCAAACTCTAGCGATCTGATCTAAAAAAGAATGTTTTGAAGTACTTTGGTAAACAGTGAAATAAAATATATAATGAAATAAAGTGCTAAGTATAAAATATAAATACGTAGCATCAAAATAAAGTACATCAAATTAGTAATCTACACTAGTTGTATTGGAAATTTTAGCAAACTGTTTTATATTATCTTTCCTTAATCTTCAATGATATTCCACGTTCCATATTTAACACTAAACGTACCGGCATTTTACATATACCTATCTTACCATAAGTGGTCATTTGACCCCTTATGAATAAACGTTGATTTTTAGAAAGAAATTCTTAA